TCCCGAGTGGAAGTGGGAGAGGATCACTATGGACTTTGTGGTTGGACTTCCATGGACTTTGAAGAAGTTTGATGCTATTTGGGTGATTGTAGACCAGCTGACCAAGTCTGCACACTTCATCCCTATGTGTACTACCTATTCTTCAGAGCGGTTGATAGGGATATATATCCGAGAGATTGTTCGGTTGCATGGTGTTTCAGTTTCCATCATCTCAGATAGAGGTACTCAGTTTACTTCCCAGTTTTGGAAATTGGTTCAGCGAGAGTTGGGTACTCAGGTGGAGTTGAGCACAACTTTTCATCCTCAGACGGACGGACAGTCCGAGCGTACGATTCAGATATTGGAGGACATGTTGCGTGCTTGTGTTATTGACTTTGGAGGTTCATGGGATGAGTTTCTACCGCTTGCAGAGTTAGCTTACAACAACAGCTACCAGTCGAGTATTCAGATGGCTCCGTAAGACGCTTTGTACGGGAGGCGGTGTAGATCTCCAGTTGGTTGGTTCAAGCCCGGCGAGGCTAGACTATTGGGGACAGATTTGGTTCAGGATGCCTTAGAGAAGGTGAAAGTGATTCAGGAGAGGCTTCGTACAGCGTAGTCGCGTCAGAAGAGTTATGCGAACCAGAAGGTTTGAGATGTGTCCTACATGGTCGGTGAGAAGGTCTTGCTGAAGGTTTCTCCCATGAAGGGTGTTATGAGGTTTGGGAAGAAAGGGAAGTTGAGTCCGCAGTTCATTGGGCCTTTTGAGGTACTTCGAAGGATTGGAGAGGTGGATTATGAGCTTGCTTTGCCACCCAACTTGTCTAGCGTGCATCCGGTATTTCATGTTTCTATACTCCGGAAGTATATTGGGGATCCGTCTCATGTGTTGGACTCCAGCACAGTTCAGTTGGATGATGATTTGACCTTTGATGTGGAGCCAGTAGCTATTTTGGGTCGTCAGGTTCGGAAGTTGAGGTCAAAGGATATAGATTTAGTGAAAGTGCAGTAGGGAGGTCGGCACGTGGAGGAGGCTACCTGGGAGACGGAGCGGGATATGCGGAGCAGATATCCTCACCTATTTCAGCCTATTTACGCTTTGTTATCCTTGTTTTATGTGATCGGGTTGATTAGTTCGAGTTCGAAGAGGATTTGGTAAGAAATGAGACACTTAGTCTCTTTTAAGAAGGCTTAAGTTGGAAAAGTCAACCGGATGTTGACTTATGTGTTAGAAGGGTCGGAAGTGAGTTCCGATGGTTCAGTTAGCTTCGGAAGGTGATTTGTCACTTAGGAGCGCGATTGGAATAGGTTTTGGAGAGAGAAGATTTAGGCTTAAATTGGATATAGGGGTCCGGTTGATATGCGAGATTTTGATATAGGGGTCAGAATGGAATTCTGAGAGTGACAGTAGCTTCGTTGTGTCATTTGGGATGTGTGTGCAAAATTTTAGGTCATTCGGACGAGATTTGATAGACCTTTTTATCGAAAGCATAATTTAAGAGTTCTTGGAGTTCTTAGGCTTGAATCCTATGTTAAATTGGTGATTGATGTTGTTGTGAGCGTTCTGAAGTTTTGAACAAGTTTGAACGATATCATGGGATGTGTTGGTACAATTGGTTTGAAGTTCCGGGTAGGTTTCGGGATGTTTTAGGCCAAAATCATAGTTGTATCAGGTCCAGAAGTGTTGCAGGCCTCAGGACCCAATCCGCGCGGACCGTACAAAAGGAAGTGTGGCCGCGGTGGTTTTGTGAGGACTGCGGTGCTTTTGCTCGGACCGCGGTGGTTCTGTGCGGACCGCGAAGGCTGAGATCTGAGGAGTACTCTATAAATACGAGGTTTTGGGTTTTATTTAATATTTTGACCTAGAGAGCTCGGATTTTGGTGATTTTTCGAAGGTTTTTCAAAAAATTCATCAGGGTAAGCGATTCTAACTCAGATTTGGCTAGAGTACATGAATCTATTATTGAATTCATCATCTAATTCATGATTTGGGATGGAATTTGGGAAGAAAATTGTGAAACCTTTCAAAAATATAAAATGATGAGTTGAAGGACCAAATGGTATCGGAATTGGATAATTTTGGTATGGTTAGATTCGTGAGCGTATGAGGATTCTGAAAATGTAAATTTTACCCGATTCCGAGACGTGGTCCCTAGGCTCGGATTTTGCTAATTTCGGGATTTTTGATATTTTTTGAATTNGTTTGAAACCCCGGATTGCACATCGTAGTGCTATATTGAGGTGAGACACGCGCTGGATGATGAGCGTGGGGTCTTTTACTACTGGGGATTGTGACTTGGTCCGTCCTGATTGATGCTTTTACCGCGTATTTGATTGAAATTTATTTGTTATCATCACGATTTGAGCTAATTGCCATATTTGGGCTTTGTGCCAACTATTTGAACCCTTCGGGGATTTTTATCACTATTTCCTCACTGTTTTGACCTATTATTTGAACTCAGTCCTATTGATGGCTACTGTTTTACAAACTCAGACACTTTTACTCAGATTAAATGATATTTCTACATCATGTTTTGGGCTAAGAACTACAGTTTTACTAATGCCCAAGGGGCTTGTGATAATTTTCGGACTGAGTGAGGCCGATGGCCATATGTGAGGATATGCTGAGTGATATGAGGCTGAGGGCCTGAGATACTTTATATGCCACGAGGTGGCTTGAGTGATGTGAGGCCGAGTGTCGAGTGATGTGAGGCCCAGTGCCGAGTGATGATGTCACGAGGTGGCTTGATATAGCACTTGGGCCGTAAGGGGCTCCTCCGGAGTCTGCACACCCACAGTGAGCGCGGGTACCTATTATGATCTGAGAGTGAGCCCAAGGGGATGATACTGTTCTAAGTGATTGATACTGAGCCCGTAGGGCTGATACTGTACTGAGAGTGAGCCCGAGGGGCTGATACTGTTCTGAGTGATTGATACTGTGCCCGAGGGGAGGATTTCTACTTGTTATTTACCTGTTAAATTACCTACTTTACTTGTTTTAAAAAGGGATGTCATTTGATTTCTTCACTGATTTACTGTTTTAAGTGATTTTACTGCTTGATATGGAATTGCTTTGTGCCTTTACGTGTTTTCATACTTTCAGCCATTATTTATAATTATTACTCACCGAGTCGGAGTACTCACATTACTCCCTGCACCATGTGTGCAGATTCAGGTATCGCAGAGTCCGCTCCTGAGTGCTGAATCTCCCAGTCCAGGCAATGATTCGGAGACTACGAGGTAGCTGTTGGTGTTCGCAGCCCCGTGCCTCCCTTATCTTATCATTTTCATGTTCTTAGAACTCTTGTATAGGATTTAGTGTTCAGTAGACTTGTATCCGTATTTCTTAGTTGCTCATGACTTGTGACACCCCGATTTGGGCTGTGTCGGGATGGTTTCTACTGTTGTTATCATTACTTCCGCAAATTATGGTTATTATATCATGTTTTAGAACTATTTATGGTATTTAGCTTTTTAAATGAGGTGTTCTGCTTTGGTCTAGCTGGCCTTGTCTTCACGAGAAGCGCCATCACAACCGGGTTAGGGGTTAGGGTCGTGACAAATGAGAACTTGTACTAAAGGTACTGTAAATTGTACTATAAACTTGGCACTATCTCATTAGTGATTGACTGTTCATTGCTCTCTCCTATGAACACGTGTATCACTTCTCCCTTTTAGCAACCCATTTCTGATTCTTTATTGATAATTTGCCGAACCATTTCCTGGTAACCATTTTCTTCTCAATTTCTCCATAGGTATTGCTCAAAGCCAGCCATACCCAGTTTATCTTCTTCTATTCTTGTAAGAATTCTACCATTGATTTTGTAAATCAAAGCTGGAATTCACCTGGTGTTAGCATTTTTAGTATTTTTATGATTGGGTCTTGGGCTTTGTTTGATTATATTTATCTTTGGTTTCTGCCGGTACTGGTTCTTCATATCCCTGTCCATCCTTCTCTGTTTCATCTAGCTGATTGTTTTAGTTTTTTTTTTGTCGACCACTGATATATTCTTTAGTTGCATGTCATCGTCTATTTTCTTCTTCACCCTTTCAATGTCAGATTCTATGATGGTATGTGATGGTGGCCTGATTTCTCTTTACCTTTTGGGCTTACATATTGTGATTTTTGTTGATGAAGCAAAAAGTTCGATCTCAGTAAAGCAGATTTTCACATTTTCTTTATTTATTTATTTCACATTTTTGTAGTCACAATTTGTTGGGTATTTACTATTTTTGTTTTTTTGGTGTCTGTATGTTAGATTATTTTTTTGGGGTAATTTATTGTCGGATTCTCTACTTGCATGTGGTTTGATTTACTCACGCATGGTTTGAAATTGATACTTAGGTGCATAATTATCACCATTGACCCAGTTGTAAAGAACCGGTTAAATGGTTCTCTTCTCCTTCATTCTCAAAGGGAATGCATCAACAAACTTCGATTCTTTGCTTTTCTAATTTCGTTAAGTCATTCGCTCCCCCTTCCTCTCCCTTATATTTTTCCTATTATTTCCTCTCTGTTGGATTTCTTTATGGGTGTATCTAGGCAAGATAATATTGAACTCTACTCACATCCTATAGTTGAAATATTACATTAGTATATTACTTTTGTAAACAAAAGTTACCATATTTAAAGTAAATTAATCATTGCAGGCCATTCGTGTTGGCAATTATGCTAAAGAATATCCAATAATGTTATATTGTGATCGTTTTCACAATTTATTGCCTAAAGCTCATAGAACAAAATGATTAGACGATGCTGGTTACTTTATTTTTGTGTAAGATGTTTAGGGATTTTGCATTTCCTCCAAAAAAATAAACGATTCTATATATTAAGAACTGATGACTAACTTTGAGATCCACTCTTTCTAATAGGAAAATTCTTCAGAGATGTTGTTACTTTACATATATAATCCTATCAGTTCTTATGTTTTTCTCTTTTTTTATCTGTTACTTCAATTTATGTGACTAGCAAATAAGCAAGTATTAAAAGAAGGTCAGACTTTGTTGTTATTTTTTTCTTTTCTGTTCCCGATATATGTTCCTATAATGTTAAGTGCGATATGAACCTATTTACCTGAGACAAAAAATGAACTTTTTGAATTCCGATGCTTAGTGTCCCATGATAAAAGAACGAAACTTTTTAAAATTTATTAAGAAAGGGTAATGTTATAGAAAAGGTTTGAGAACCCACAACAGGGAGATGATACAAATAGGAACTCAGGATTATTTTGGCAGTCTAATTATATTAGCAAAATGATTGGTCCTGTTCACTGAAAGTGTTTCCACCAATAAATCTTAATCTATCCAAACTACTTGGCTTGTGTCCTTCTACTCCGAACTCTACAACCAAAAATAATAGAAGAGACTGAATTTCTCTTAAAATAGGGATTATGGAGAATTAGAGATAATGGAAAGGTACATGTTTACTTGATCCTTTTATACTATCTGCCTACGAAAACAACATAGTATTAAGTTACTCCACTGTATGTTTGTTTACTTTACTAGATTTTTTTGGATTAACCATATTGCCACCTTTAGTTGGTTAGTTTAGTCATTGTTCTTTTTGGTTTCCTCTGTATTCTCATTAGTAACTTCTTGGCTCTCTCTCTTTCTCTCACTCTCTGCCTCTCTCTCTCTCAATTAGCAAGTTTTTTTTGAATTTGTTAAGGGAAAACATGTTTCCGCTAGAAGTAGAGATAGAATTATTGAACAAGTGCTTAAACATTTAGTGAATATTTTAGGTATTCTTACAAAATAATTAACTTTTTGGAACAGAAATGTCCACAAAATGAAGATGTTGCATCGCGTCGAGCTGAAGAGGCCAAGGAACAACGACGGCGTGATAGAAATCTACGACGTCGCACAAGATATGCACAAATGTCACCTGAAAGGAAACAATCATTTTTGCTGAAACTGCAAGCTAAGAGAGCTGAATGAAAAAAGCGGCGACTTAATCCTCATTCAAGTAATACATTGTCCTTAATGAAAACTGGTACTCAAGCTCAAAGACAGAGTACTCTTACAGTTGGTGATCGTCCGTTAGATTCAGAAGAAGGTAGAAAAGTATATTGTTCTCTAACTTCTCAGAGACATTAGATATACAAACAATGTTGTATGCGTATATATAAGTATATAGTAATGAATATATCGATCCAAAATCATTAAAGTGACTTTTTAGTTTCTTTCAATTGTTAGGTCATGCTTCTGAAGCTACAAATATGCCAGCTATTATAGATAAAGGAAATAATATGATTGATTGCATGTCCATCTTTGAAGTAGGTAAGCGTCCAAAAATAGTACTATAAATGTTCCCACTATACAAATTACTTTACTGATTAGTTATACATGCGTAAACATTAAACATTGCAATGTCAGGATCAACTTCAGGTACATGTAATGCAGGAATTTCTTCAACTCCAACAGCTACTGCACATAGAGGTATGTATATATCTGCCAAAAATATAACAATCTCATAGTATCGCATTACTGTCTCTTTCTATAACATTGTCATAATTTATCATGTACAAGTAAAATAAATTTAGAATTCGAATTACAGAATGATGACTTGTTGCTAAAAAATTACGTACATTTAAAAGAAGTTCCGGATTGTAAATTTTGTGGAGCAAAAAGGTTCCAATATGAACCACCAAAATTCTATTATGGTAGCGAATCAATAAAATTGACTTCTCATCAAATGCCTATAGAGTTGCAGAATTTATATTTAGGCAACACTACAGAATCTAAACATTTTCGTACTTATAGTAGAACCTATAATAATATGTTTGCATTCACTTCCCTTGGTGTTAATTATGATAGAGTATTAGCAAAGAGAAATCGTGGTATATATAAATTTAAAGTTCAAGGACAAATGTATCACTTTATTAACAATTTAGTTCCTTCCGACTTCTGGAAAAAGAGCAAAAAAATTACAATTGTAGTTTTATGATAACGAAAATGAGATAAGGAATCGAATGAGCTTATCATACAAGTTTAATGAAGCAGTTGTCAAGAAACTGATGGAAATACTAAAGGTTAATCCATATTCTACTTTTCTAAAGTCATTAACAGATATTCCAGAATTATCTGACTTCTATATTGCACTTAAATCTGATTCTGGTTTAGATCAAAGAACATACAACTTACCTACTTCATCCGAAGTTGGGGCAATATGGATAGAAGAACAAACAAACAACAAAATTTCCACTCCGCATATTCAAATATACACTCATAGTAACAGAAGTCAGTTGGTAAATTATTATTATGGATATTATGACCCATTACAATATCCATTGTTATTCCCATATGGTAAAAATGGATGGCATTGTGGCATTAAAAAAATTAAGTAAACATATAGTCATTCAAATCTCCAAATTTACTGCGAATGTGAACAACTGCCAAGTATATTGAACATGACTTCAATTGATGGGCTACTTGATATGGAATCTGAAGTTTTATCAAACGGTAAAAGTAAAAGAGAAATGGATTCTTGTCGTGAATATTGTTGTTACAAGATTCAAATAAGAGAATGAACCAAATGAAACTTTACATTCTGGAAGGGTATTTCAACAATTCATTGTTGACCAATACATAAAACTTGAGACTCAAAGACTAGATTTCTTTTCCTTTAACCAAAATTTATTCAGAACTGCAGTACTACAAGGGATTCTTAAATTTTTAAGACAGGGAGAAAGAGATTCCTCAAATATTGGAAAAAAAATATTCTTCTTGTTAGTTTTATTGGAGGCCCAAGAGATATGTGTCGACGATATATAGATGCTATTGCATTGGTACAACATTATGGAAAACCCGACATATTCTTGACAATGACGTGCAATCCTTCTTGGCCTGAAATTAAAAAATATTTATTAACATCTGGAGACGTTCAAAATAGGCCTGATCTAATCAGCCGTGTATTTAGAGCAACAGTAGAGGAACTTAAAACAGATATATTTAAAAAAAATATTTTTGGAAAGGTTGCAGCTTTTATGTCCACCATAGAATTTAAAAAACGTGGACTTCCACATGCTCATTTCCTTATTATACTTGCAGATAGATATAAACTATTAACACCGAAGGCTTATGATAAATTTGTCTGTGTTGAATTGCCTGATCGCAATTTAGATTCCTCTTTATATTCACTTGTGACTAAATATATGATTCATGGACCTTGTAGCTATTTAAATCCTTCCAATTCTAGCATGAAAAAGATCATTGTAAGTTTAAATATCCTAAAGAACTTGCAGAACATACAACGAAAAGAAAAAATTCATATCCTATATACAGAAGACGACAAATAGAGATACCTATAGAAGTTAGAGGACACAATATTGATAATTCCTGGGTTGTTCCTTACACTCCATTTTTACTTAAGAAATTCAATTGCCATATTAATGTTGAAATATGTTCTGACATTAAAGTTGTCAAATATCTTTATAAATACATGTGTAAAGGTCATGGCAAAATTGCTTTTTTTGTGCATGGTGATAATACAAATGTACATATAGATGAAATAAAAGAACATCAATCAGCTAAATGGGTCTCTCCACCAGAGGCAGCATGACGTCTATTTGATTTTCCTATAAGTGAAATGACTCCAAGTGTGATGCAACTTCAGTTACACCTTGAGGGACAAAAATTTGTATCCTTTAAAAGTACCCAAAATATACATCAAATTGTAAATAATCCAATGACAAGGAGGACAATGTTAACAGAATGTTTTGTAATGAACAGTACCAATAAAGACGCTAAGCTCTTAATTTATTATATAAAGAGTTCCCAGAGTATTTTGTATGGTCACCAACTGACAAAATGTGGTCACGTCGACAACGAGGTACTGCTATTGGAAGAATTGTAACGTGTTATCCACCCGAAGGAGAAAGATACTATCTAAGGCTACTTTTAATGAATGTAAGAGGACCTAAATCATATGCAGACCTTTACAACGTCAATAGAAAATGTTGGGATTCATTTAGGGAAGCTGCAGAAAAGCGAGGCTTATTACATTGTGATAACAATGTAATTGACTATATGTCTGAAGCTGTGAATTATCAAATGCCTTATAGTTTAAGACGTTTATTTGCTACATTATTAGTTTACTGCAATCTTACAAATCTAAGAGAACTATGGGAAAAATTTGAAGAACCTATGTCTCTAGATTTCAAGAGAATTTCAATTTGGGAACAAAAAAGATTCGACATTTAGTTTTGAATCATATTAATGAAGTCTTACATTCAATGAGACACAATATATACGAATTCAAATTTACTTATGAAATTATTGTACTTCCTTCACCAGTTAACGAGGAAAAAGATGTTCAGTTTGAGAGAAATATAATAGTAAGTAAAGAAGATTTACTCTTACAAAAGAAATTAAACTCTGAACAAAGAAGAGCATATAATATTATTCTTGATAGAGTATATTCTGATAAACCAGGAGCATTTTTCATTGATGGTCCCGGAGGAACAGGAAAAACATTCTTGTATCGAGCTTTGTTAGCTAATATAAGATCAAAAGGTTTTATAGCTTTAGCAACTGCAAGTTCTAGTGTTGCGGCTTCAATTCTACCTGGAGGACGAACTGCTCATTAGTGCTTCAAAATTCCTATAGACATTGATGAGAATTTTACATCTAATATTAGCAAACAAACAACATTAGCAACTCTAATTCAAGATTCAAAGTTAATTGTCTGGGATGAAGTTTCAATGGCAAAAAAGAAAATGATTGAAGCTTTCAATACTCTTTTAAAAGATCTCATGAATACGAATATACTCTTTGGTGGTAAAGTTGTAGTTTTTGGTGGAGACTTTCGGCAAACACTTCCCGTTGTTCGTAGTGGAAAAAAAGAAGACTTTATTTGTGAAAATTTACTATATTCTGATATTTGGAATGATCTTGAAAAGTTGTGCTTATCAGAAAATATGCGTGCAAAAGAAGATCCTGCTTTTTGTGAGTATTTAATGAGAATTGGAAATGGAAAAGAAGAAACTAACAACTCGAACAAAATTGAAAGTCCACATAATTTTATTATTCCTTTTACCACTGAAACACAATCTTTAAATCAATTATTCAATGTTACTTATCCGAATCTACTTACATTTTTTTCTAATCCATCTTCTATGACTTCCCATGTTATCTTAACTACAAAAAAAAATTTGTTGATGAAATAAATGACATGCTTATACATCAACTTCCCAACAATGCTAAAATATATACTTCAATTGATGAAACTACAGAACCAAGCGACAAATACCAATTTGAAGATTTTCTGCACACATTAAATCCTCCTGATTTGCCACCTTACAAATTAACTTTAAAAAAAAATTGTCCCGTTATATTATTGCGAAATTTAAATTCTTGTGAAGGATTATGCAATGGTACAAGGTTAATATGTCACGACTTTAAGTCACATGTAATAAGTGCTACTATTGCAAGTTGTGATTTCAAAAATACACATGTATTCATTCCGAAAATACCACTCTTAACATCACAAGATGAAAAGTTACCCGTTGCTTTCAAAAGAACACAATTTTCACTTCGATTATGTTTTGCTATGACAATTAACAAAGCTCAAGGTCAGACATTAGATTTTGTTGGAATTTATTTACGTGAACCAGTATTCTCTCATGGTCAAGTCTATGTTACTTTATCTAGAGCAATAAAGATACTGATACACCCACCAACGCCAGAGGATAAAGATGATCATCCTACCTACAGTATAGTTTATGAGGAAGTCATTCAAAAAGCATTCCCTTAAATTAATTATATTTATGTCAATGATGATTCATTACTTCTCCTTCCAACCTGTATAAATATGCCTTTTGATACACTCGGGAAATTGCACTTACAAGTAACTACATGAGCAACTGATTGCTATTCGTGAATCATATGTGGTACACTATTAGGTCTGTGATATTTGAGATTTCAAATACAGTTCGCCTCATCCATCTTTTTGGATCCTTATTACCAATTCACACTCGCTTTTTCATAAGGTAAACTCTACTAACTGAGTTAAGGTAACAACCTGGATCAGTATCAATTGCTTTCTTCATGTTTCTGCATTTCTTTACTTACCTTTATTCTCATATTATCTTTGTTTTTCTTTCCTTTTTTTCATCAGTTTTATTCTCTTCTACCTACATCAGTTTCTCTATTCATTGGTCTTCTCCATTGCGTTTATGATGATCTAGCAAGTACCTCATTTTGTTTATCGTGTTTAATAAATTAATCCTCTAGGTTTTTATACCTTTCTTTTTTGGATTTGCTTGATCTGCTATTCCATGTTTGTGTCATTGTATACATGCAGAACATTTATGGATTCACTCTCAAAACACACATGCATCCTGATTAGCGAGATACAACTAGAAATCATGTAAAGGGAAAAAGAGGAAATTTCTGAGTTCTTAGTTTTCGTCTATTCTTTCTTGGTAAGCATGTAAACCTTTATTCTATTATATAAAATCTTCATTTCCCTATGAAATTCTAATGGTGCTGTTTTATTTTCCTTTTCAATTCAGTCGGTAAGATTTTGAATATTCTTTTCCCTCTTAATATTTTATTTTAATAGGAAAGAATTCTCCATTTACAAAAGAAAAGCTGAATGACATCCAATCTAGGGAGCTGGGATTGGAGTCATTGGATAAATCAAACATCTATGTATTAAAAAAAAATTATCAGTTGTTCAGTGAATGGAGAAAACTTAAGCTCGATTTCCATTAGTTGGGAGATCATTTTTTTTGTGTGGGTACAAACTTAATGACGAACCAACAAAAAGATATCAATGTGAGCTTACCAAAACTAATACATGTGGTTATCTGTTATAAAGCTTCTATGAAATTTTTTTCACTAAGGTGCACAAACTATAAGGACATTGAAGCTTGATTCTTATATAAACTTGCAATTTATTGGGAAAAACTGAGATTGCAGCTTCTAAATGTAGCATCCAACCATATAAATTAACCAAAGTTGCTAAAAATTATTAACACTAACTTTCCAGGGAAAAAACTTTTGAAGCCACCAGAAACCTAATGTAATAAGTGGATCTTAACGGTTCTCTCTCTCTCTCTCTCTCTCACACACACACACACACACACTTTTTAGCCGAAAGAAACATAGCAAAGAAGTCTTACTTTGTGTGTCCGCTTTCCCACTAAGCAGCTAAAACACATGCATGTCTCCTACCTTGACAGGTCAAGTTTAGTTGTCTCTTAACTTTATTCCAAACAAAGATATATCTATTTTTCTTTAGCAATATATAGATAAAATGAAGGATTCATATACGCACTCATAAAAATGAGGGTCAATTGAGTTAGATTCTCTTAAACTCGCTGCTCTTATATTTTGTCGCACATTAAAGATGCAACTACCTGCTTTGGCTAATTTGTGTGACCATAAAAAAAAACGTAAAATGAGTTTTCTTTCTTCTCTTTTTGGGTGAACTGCTCTCTGTTACAAAACAGGTTCCTCTTTCTGTAGATTCTAAGAGAGTTGTGAGATGCTTGTGGGTTTCTATTATGTGATCTATCGAAGGTGGTAAAAGATATTGAAATTCTTGATGGAAAATAGGTATTTTCTATTTCTTGGCTGTAAATGACTAAATGTAGAGAATCCTGGCTTATAAATGAAATAAAGCTGAGTATTTCTCTTTTTATTTTGAGTTATAACATTTGCATACTATGAATTTGAATCTCGACTGATTGTAGTAAGTCTTCAATTTTTCCTTCTCTATCTCGGCGCATATGTTTCTGTATCTTCGAAACATTTGAATACTGACTTTTTGAGTTTTCAGTTACCGGAGATCTTTATATACCTGGAAATTTAAATGTTTTCGTTGTAAGAAGATTTTGGGGCGTAGCTGAGAAGTGGACTTCACCAATAATTCTGCTTCTCCTTCCTCCCGCCATATCCCTGATCAGGTTTTCTTTCCTTTTCTCAAAATTATAAATTAAAGATAGAGACCGAATCTAGAATTTAGGAGTTAGTAGGTTGTAGATCTGCCTTTAGTATTAAAGTTACTTGATTAATATTACGTTAATGCATTCTTATTTTAACTAATAAATATGTGTTGCTGGTGACAAGAGAGACTCTTAAGTTTTCAAGTTTTCAAACATAGGACTTTCAACATTGTCTTTAGTGAATGAAGAATTATTTAAGGTACTTCGAAGTAAAGCATGAAATTGCAGGTTGTAGAATGACAAACTAAGAACCTCTCTCCCTGTATCATGTATCAATGAGCTGAAAAATGACCACATGCATGAAAAAGCTTGGGAGGTGTAGTATTAAGTGTTGTCTTTTGTATTGTCCAGTGTCCGTAAACACAGTCGATAATTTTGACCAATTCGTCAATTTTCTTTATAAGTTGTAAGATTATTAATCTGTCTTCAAGATACTCTTTTTCCTCTATGTTTTCCAAACTAAATATTTTCTTAACACTTTTGTTTGCATTGGCAATGATATCGATAGAATTATTTGAAATCTTTCAGAGCAGACAGATCTTTGTGTTGGGTATATACTATATACTTACTTACTATATATAATACTATAGAGATGCACGAACACTGCTGTTCCTTATTGTACCAATAGTTGTGTTAATGGTACTGTATACTTGGACCCATCTGATTGGATAAATAACACGTGTAACGTGCCCTTTTTGTAAGCAAACCACGCCGCACACTGATTATTTGTTCTTCTTCTTTCGTCTAGATTTCTCCGATGCCGCCTCCCCTCAGCCCTAGACCATTTTCTTCTCAAGTTCTCTTTTTCCAGAAGCTCTTGCTTAATCCCTCTGTTTTCATTAAAATGAGTTTGTCCCAACTTCTAAGGAACTTCATTTTCTCCATGGATTGTTGTTATCTTCTCCTGCTTCCTTCTCAATTCTCAGTATCTCTTTCTATTCTATGTTTTTTCAGAAGACATTCTTTCTCGATACATAGCGGTTACTCTGAGGTACTTCTTTTCTTTTTCCAGTTAAATTAGAGTTTTTCTTTTTGTTTTTGTGAGTTTATTGCAAATTTTCTTTCTTAATTAGACTTTATTTCTAATCACGCTTACCGGGTATTGTTCGTTTCAATTTAATGTGTAAGATTTTTGATATTTGATTATAGTATTATGTATCTGCTTTTTGCTCTTTCTTCATGCTCTTTTTTTTCTGGGGTAGGCTCTGTTTATGCATGTGAAAATTTGTTCCAACGCTTCCACGGAAATATTCATATTATGTGCACAAACTGCAACAACACATACCAATAATCACATTGAATTTCCATCTGCGGAAGAAATTGTGTTGAAAAGGGAAGAATTTTGATGCTGCCAACATGTTTGACTATATGCCTAAAACAACTGAATATTCCTTTTTTATACTTTTAGCTAAAGTTGATATTATCTTCTCCTCCAAAATTTGTAAGATCTTTAGTGGTGATAACGGTGAAAATTATTCATGTGTAATGAAGTTATTTTGCTTGTCCAATGTATATATGTTGTGTGAGAACTCTAAGCTTTTGGTATAATGTCAAGCCTTATTTATCTTTTGTATTGACATTTATACTACTTTCGATTTTGGTTCGAGATATTTGTTTTGTATATTTATCTGTATGCCTAAGTTTTCACTGTTTCACTTGTGAGAGTAATAAAATGCCCTGATTCAGTTATCTTTAATTACAGTGAAAGGAATCCTAGGAAGTTGGATTTGGGTATTGCGATAGAGCGGAGTATTACTATTTTTGTTTTGAGTTATATGAGTGATATTCTAAAAGTTTTATTGAATTTAGACTTTTTTTGGAGCCGGTGATAAGAGAAAAAACCTTGAGGAGGAAAAAGGTATTGTCATTAGTTTTCGGTTTTTGCTTCTCTACTGTGCATCTTTGTACCTCCTAAACATTTGAAACTTCATTTTTTGTGTTTTCAATTGCAGGAAATATGGTAAATAATTCGTGCTTAGATTCCCTTGCAATTCAGTAATATGAAACATTTAAATTTTCTTTTTCAGAAAGGAAAATGAATAATTCTTTCATGGTGCTCTACATCTTGATCCTACTGCACTTAGTTATAGCTTTTTGTCATGATTTAACTATTAATAGAAAGCTTTCATTTTACCTATCTGTACTATCTACTGAACATTATGGTATAGATAATTAATTTCCTTGAATTTTTTTCTTTTCATTTGACTTCAGTAGAAATGTGATGCACATAATCTTTCTAATTGTCATATAAAAACTGGCGCACTTTAGAATGGAAATGATGATTATTTGATTTGGACTGAACAGGAAAATGACAAATTTATAATATAATCTTGCTGCAAATTTTTGTCTTAGCAGCTGATGATGTTCCATCTTAGCCTTGAAATATTATCTTAGGATCCATTGTGCCATATGAAGTGGCATGCTTCTATTGGGTACTGGGTTGTAATGATGGTTGTCTGACTCGAAACATATTTGTAGAGAAGAGGTATTCAAATGTGCAGTAGGTATATTTATTGGTGCTTTTTATTCTTAGAGAAGCTTCTTGTGGTTAGCTACATATAAGTTTATATCATTTACTAAATCTTCATGAACTTCTGACATCTATATGTTATGTATCTTCATGATGAAGCCTTCATTTGCGCATTCTAATTTGGCACCATTGTGAGTCTTATTAAAGGTCAAGTTGCCTTTATTTTAAAACTATATATAAGCATCCTACATGCGCTTCCGATGTGTTTAAGTTCTTAACTTTTTATGTGACAATGGAAGCATAATACAAAATTATGTTCTTATAATAGTGATATAAGCTATATTATGAGAGAAAAAGGAAAGACGCACACAAATAAGAATACTGGGCATAAGCTCGAGCACGCATAAAATGAGAAAGAAACATCTACATGTCTATTTAGTTTTGTTAGAATACTCTTTTTTAGTCTTAAAGAAGCATATATAATATGTATAGGTTACTTAGCTTCTTTAGGATCTTTTTAACAAATTATGCTTTACGTGAGATGAAAATAACTCAAACCATAGACAATCATCAAGTGGGAAAGCTTCTTTAGGATCCTTTCAACAAATTATACTTTAGGTGAGATGAGACTAACTCAAGCCATAGACAGTCATCAAGTCGGAAAGAGAACTGATATGTGCTTGGATTGCATCACGATTCTTGGGGACAACTACACTGATCTCCAAGGTTTTCTATCTGGTTACATTTTATGAACTTTGATATTGAATTATTTATTATTTTTTTTACGGGAAATTTACTTTAAAATAGTAGTTGCCAAACTTTATTTCCATCTAAACCATGCGTTGCAGCAGCATATCGAAGACTTTTGTTAAGAAAAAAAGTGGTCCAAGATATTACTCAGTCGCCGTATTTACCTCTTGCTTTTGAATTTTTAGCTTTGGATCTCAACGGTAATCAAATTGTTTAATGTGCAGAGCTTCGACCAACTATTTAAATGTGCAAACTGAGTTGCCACCCGATTCGGGGGAAAGAATGAAACAGGGAAGAACATTGATGTAGCCGAGGTACTTGATTATCCGCGTGAAATACTAAATAATATTTTTAATTTTCTAAATGATAGGTTCTGCAACATTAACAAAAAGTACATTATTCGTTTCTCATGGACAAAATTAGTGAACAAAATAATATTTATGTCATGACCCTAAAGCCCGGATCCAGTCGTGACGACGCCTCTCGTGAAGACAAGGTCAGCCGACACATTCCATTTCAGTAATTAACAGTTAAATAGTAAGAGAGTCTAAAACATGATAAAATAATCCAAATTTTAAGCAGATAATAGCATAATTTGCGGAATACAACCCAACACAGTCCGATACCGGGGTGTCACTATTCATGAGCATCTACAAGTTCTAATACAAGTTTGAGGAAGTCTATAAACTATTACAAACTGTCTGATAAAGAGATAGAAATGATAAGGGGCAGAAACACGGGATTGCGGATGCCAAGCAGCTACCTCGTGGACTCCAAAATCTGTTGGGAGCTCTCAACTCGCACTAGTAAGATCCGCAACGCCTGAATCTGCACACGGGGTGCAGAGAGTAAAGTGAGTGCTCCAACTCAGTGAGTAATAATCATAAATAAAGACTGAAAGCAGGAAATCACGTAAGACACACTACATGCTATAATGAAGCAGTAAAACCAGTGAAAATAGTAAATCAGTGAGATATATGTGAAAGTCATTTAACCCAAATTAAACTTCATGAAAAGCCTTTTTCAACAATTAAGCAGGTAATTAACAAGCAATTAAGGAAAATAACATATAAAGGTTCGCCCCTCGGGCACAGTATCAACAAATCCGCCCATCGGGCAATATCTCACAACAATACCAGCCCCTCGGGTTATATCTCACATCACAATGGGTACCCGCACTCACTAGGGGTGTGCAAACTCTTGTAGGGGCCCCTTACGACCCAAGCACAATATCAAGCCATCTCGTGGCGTCATCACTAGGCTCTCGGCCTCATATCAACAAGCCACCTCGTGGCGTACATATCTCAGGCCCTCGCTCTCAAATCATGATCAGTGTTTCCTCACAACATAGGCCCTCAGCCTTACTCAGTCAAAAGTTCTCACAAGCCACTCGGCAGTAATAAAACATGATTCTCAGCCCAATTATCATTTAAAAGATCATTTAAGTGTTAAAACATAGTAAACATGGCTGAGTATGAAAATAGTGAAATATAACATGACTGAGTTCAAAACATATTAACCATCTTTTTGGACTCAGATGGGCCATGCCTCAAAACTTCAGGGAAGCTTTTGAAAGCTGGAGCCTTTGGAAAGTTGATAGCTCCATCAGGAAAATATGGAAGATGATACCTGCAGCCATTTCTTGGACTATCTGGAATGAAAGGAATAGAAGGTGTTTTGATGGGATATCAACTGTTGTCCAGTCTCTCAAAGCTTTTTGCCTAGTGTATTTATTTAGTTGGGCTTATCTAGCCCCTGTAGATTCTCCTGATAGCTATCTAAACTGTGCTAGCTACCTAGTACTAAGCTTATTTTTTTTTGCCTTTTTGTATTGGAGCTAGCAATTTTCATTGCCTTTGTAACTATTTTGCATCTTCTTGATGCCATCAATGAAACCAATTACTTCATCAAAAAAAAAAAATAACATGACTGAGTTCAAGTATAAAGTCAAAATAGTGAGGAAATATCAATAAAAATCCCCGAAGGGTTCAAATAGTTGGCACGAGGCCCAAATATGACATTCAACCCAAATAATGATGATAGCAAATAGATTTTAGTCAAATACGCGGTAAAATAGTCATTCGGGATGGACTAAGTCACAATCCCCAACAGTGCACGACCCCACGCTCATCATCAAGCGTGTGCTTCACCTAAATATGACACAACGATGTGCAATCCAGGGTTTCATACTCTGAGAACATTATTTACAATCATTACTCACCTCAATCCGGTCTAAACTCTAGCCCGCGACGACTTTGCCCCTCGAATCAGCCTCCACTCGCGTCGAATCTATCCAAAATTAGGATCACGACGTCAAAATATGCCAAGGGAACGAAGTCCAAGTGAATATAATCAATTTACAACCTAAATGCCGAATTACCAAAACCCGAACCCCGGGCAACGTCTCGGAATTCGATAAAATTCACATCAATAGATTCTTTATCCCCCCACGAGTTTATACATATCTAAAGTTCTGAAATCCGACCTCAAATGGTCCTTCAAATCCTCAATCAAAGGTCTAAGTTTTCAAGTCCTAGTTTCCCAAACTTTGATCCTTAAATTCCATAAATTACAAGCCTAATCCGTGAAATAATACCATAGAAACGGGTTTTAGGTACAAAATCCTTACCTCAATGAAGTTCCTTTGAATTGCCTCATCAAAATCGTCTAAAAAGCTCCAAAGCCGAATTAAAAATAGTGAAATAGCTCAAAAATCGTGAAGGACACAATTTATACCTTCTGGACCAGGCATTTTCGTATCTGCGGCCAATTTACCGCTTCTGCGTGTCACGACCCAATCCCCGAACCCGGTCGTGATGGCGCCTCTCGTGTAGAAAAGGCCAGCCAGACCAAAACGGAACACCTCTTTTAAACAATTAATCATCATAAACAGTAATAACATATACTATAATACTCATAAATTGCGGAATTTTAACGTTAACAACAGCAGGAACCATCCTGACACAACCCAAACCGGGGTGTCACAAGTCATGAGCTACTATAAAATCTGCTAAAGGTCTACAAGGTACGGAATACGATACAACAGTTTGAAGAAAACATAAATGATAGAGGATAAGGGAGACAAGGGGCTACGGACGTCAACAGCTACCTCGGAACTCCAAATCACCGCCTAGCCTGGACAGAATCAGCGCTCAGGTGCGGACTCTGCTATGCCTGAATCTGCACACACGGTGCAGGGAATAATGTGACTACTTCGACTCAGTGAGTAATAACTATAAATAATGGCTGAAAGTATGAAAACACGTAAAGGCACAAAGCAATTCCATATCAAGCAGTAAAAATCACTTAAAGCAGTAAATCAGTGAAGAAATCAAATGATATTCCTCTTAAAACAAGTAAAACCGGTAATTTAACAGGTAAATAACAAGTAGAAATCAGCCCCTCGGGCACAGTATCAATCGCTCAGTATAGTATCAGCCCCTCAGACTCACTCTCAGTACAATATCAGCCTCTCGAGCTTAGTATCAATCACCCAGAACAGTGTCAGCCCCTCGGGCTCACTCTCAGAATAGTATCAGCCCCTCGGGCTACCTCACAATCACTCATATCAACCCCTCGGGCATAGCATCAATCACTTAGAACAATGGGTACCCGCGCTCACTGTGGGTGTGCAGACTCCGGAGGGGCCCTTTACGGCCCAAGCGCTATATCAAGCCACCTCGTGGCATCATCACTCGACACTCGGCCTCACATCACTCAATCCACCTCGTGGCATATAACGTATCTCAGGCCCTCGGCCTCATATCACTTAGCATATCCTCACATATGACCCTCGGCCTCACTCAGTCCAAAAATCATCACAAGCCCCTTGGGCATTAGTAAAACAGTAGTTCTGAGCCCAAAACATGATGTAGAAATATCATTTAAGTTTCAAATCTGAGTAAAAATGACTGAGTTTGTAAAACAGTAGATATCAACAGGAATGAGTTCAAATAATAAGTCAAGTAGTGAGGAAACAGTGATAAAAATCCCCGAAGGGTTCAAATAGTTGGCACGAAGCCCAAAATCATGATGATAACAAATGAATTTCAGTCATATATTCGGTAAAATCATCAATCAGGATGGACCAAGTCACAATCCTCAGTAGTGAAAGACCCCACACTCATCATCCTGCGCGTATCTTGCCTCAATATAGCACTACGATGTGCAATCCGGGGTTTCAAACCCTCAGGACATCATTTACAACCATTACTCACCTCAAGCAGGTCGAAATCCTAGCTCGCTACTCCCTTGCCTTGCAAATCAACCTCCTCGAGCATCGAATCTGATCAAAACCACAAGTAATACGTTACAATATGCTAAGGGAATACAACCCAATCGAAAAGACTCGAAAAATATCGAAAATCACAAAGTTGGC